GCTCCAACTCTCCGCCATTACGGTATCTACCCGCCTGCCTATCCAGGTTCTCATTCAAGTAGTCACTATTCGAAACGGCCTTACGCCTTCGAATCCCGCCAATACGGAACCCCGCCAATTGCGAATCACAGTTCCCCAAACCACCATTCAAACCCCGCGCCACGCAGTACCCGGCCACATGTGTATCCAAACACACCCAATAGGAAACCGCTAGCAACAGGCATACGGCAGAAAATGCTCGTAAGGCTGACCTCCCTTCATAGAAGGGAAGTCAGCCTTACGAGCACTAAAGCGTGCACCCCATGTACATGCAATTACATTTTGGATAGAACCTAAGTGCTTGAAGTGCATGGCGCAATCCAAAACGAAGCATTTTCGATACTTGTGGGTATCATGTGGGTATCAGCTCATAGAGCTCGACCAGCGAAACTTAACAGTACCCCCAGCTCTTGGCTTACTCCACTCTGAACAGATTCATGGAGAAAAGACGAGAAAGTTTGCGGTATTCGCGTGAATTTTCGAATTCTTACGGCTAGCACAGTACAACTCAGCTCAGCTCAAACCACAGTTTCTATTCAGTCCTCTGCCTATAACTTACAGGTATTCAGAATACAGTACAGAGTGGGTCCTAACATTGCGAAGTTGATGCTCAAGTTAACAACAAGAGGTCTGTGCGATTCAGAGAGGTCAAGTACGAGGTCATTCTCTCTAAGATTCCAGCTTGAATTAGATGCAATGCGTAAGGCTTGGATGATCAATTGAAACCACTTTTCAAGCCTTCTCATCCCGTTCTAGTCCGTTGAACAGTACGCTACAACGAAATGTTTACAACCTACTTGAGCAGAGCTGCTCGTGCGCCCACGACACCTCATCACCTGGTTCCGTACAGTTCCCAAGCGGCACGAATGTCTCTGAAAACGAACCATTCAGCTCAACAACCCTCTACGACTCGAAAATGACTCTGCTAACTGTGACTGACCAAGGGCACATCTTCCGTTATTCTTGGTACGACCTTCATCGACTTCCATTGGACCGGTGTCCTTGAACAATATCCCTAGATCTGCAGGTGCACGTGCGAGCGGTTTAGTTCGGCGCCGTTTTTCGAGAGCATCCTCGAGCGTCTTCTTTATCACTTGACATTCTTCATTACAGAAAGGCGAATTGTCATTCTGCAAAACTTTATTTACACTTAAGGTCACTGCCAGAGTTATGACGACGTTTTACAACATCTCGACATTGCACAGGTCGAGTTTTACGATGGCGGCAAGCATACATCTCCTTTGTAAACGGTTATCTCATGTGGAGTACCCCGGTTGGAAAAAGCATCCGGGGAACTTCACACAATGGGAATAATTCAAAGAAAATAAGAGCTATGACGAAATGTAAGAAACCTGATCGACCGTATCCGAAAAGGACTTCGCCCTTGGCATAAACGACAACGATGGTTGCACGAAACCTCGAGATGCTTCATCTGGTGTCTGAAGATACAAGGTTAAGGTGTACAAAGGTCTTCAGAAGATGGGTTCTCTCAAGGCTTTTTATCTAAGTGGCACAAAAGTTTTTAAGTTTGAAGGTCGCATAGGTCATTACACTCGTGGCTTTCCATCTGCCTAGTCAAACTTCACTTCAAATCCTGAAACCTATAAAGATATGGAGCCGCGTGCGCTGTAGTCAGCGCATGATTATTGGTGCAGACGAGATCCAAATTTGGTGGCCCCGATGTGACTAAAACACTGTGAAAGTCTGGTTCGGATACCTCTTGGTTTGCTTATGAGGTACCTCTAAATAAACGAAACGAAGAAACATGAGATTCTCAAGGGACAGTTTCTGATAAGCATGGCGTCTAAAATTCTTCTCTGGGAGGAACCTGTGGCCTCCGA